TTCATTACTTATTTCCTGATGCTTGTTTTAATTTACGATCATGACCATGGTATTAAACTCCTGCTTGTTACACAAAAGCTTCCACAGGTGTTTCCTGGTAGTCATTACTATTCTTTAAGTTTGCTTTAAAGGGTTATTACATGGTTATTAATATATTATTAAATGGAAACAGGCAGTTATGCATTTTGCAGCGCTGTTTCCTGCTTATTACACAGAAACTAATAGCAATATTTCCAGGTAATAATCCCACTTCTTTAAGTTAGCCTTAATGGGTTATTCATATGTAATTAATTGGAAACAGGTAATTTGCATTTTGCAGCTGTTTCGTGCATATTACACAGAAACGACCATGGGTAATTGAGTGTTAATAACCACACAATTGCATTCTTGTTTCTTCCCTGATACCTTACTATTACCACTTTATTACCGAGCTGTATTTCCACATTATTACCCTCAGCTTTTGGGCTCTTATCATCCAATTACATAAATTTGCATGTAATATTACTCAGTGTGAACACTGTTGCTACCAGACTAATATTACTTGGATACTAAGTGGTTATTACTTTGGCAATTGCATGGTAAAAACTTAGAAATTACCACATTATTACGTTCTTGTTTCCGCTTTGTTACCCTACTATTACCACTTTATTACCGAGCCGTGATAGAAAGTGCAACCAAATGTTAATGCATCAAATCATGAAGGTTGAAGAACAACAAATATGACTCTTGCTTCCTGTATGTATAGTCATAAGAACATACATACCTGTACAGTTGAGGAAGATCTGTGTTTCCGTGTGGTCGTAGTGGACATCATGGTAGTAGTCTCAATGAAGGACGTTGTCATCTCTGGAGACATGGCTGTGGTCCTGGCTGAACCTGCCACACTAGGTACATCGCCTACCAGCCTTACACTGCCATTAATCTTGATGTTTGGGTTGCCTTCAGCTGCCATGTTCAACACCTTTAGGCCATTGTAATAAAGGCCCGAGAGCTGACCTTGAAAGGGCCGGCCACGATCACTACCACCAATTGCCACTGTTGCTTGTGTGTTGAAAATTGTTAACTGCCGCCCTAGAGAAGACATCCAGAGTAAGATATTGTCAACAAAGAAAGGACCTTTGAATAAAACAAAAATGCAAACACCCAGGTGCAGTGCCACTAAAACCCAATACTAAGCAAACTGCAACAGTGCGCACAGTAGCCAACCTCAAACATTACACTACACACATTTAGCTGTTGATTCCACCTTACAATGACAAAAGTAATTCATTTATCTTGACAGTGTGAAGGACAATACATAATGTATTCCTTTATTAAAACTGAATGATATTATATGTACTAAACTGAAACATAGATTTCTCACACAGTGGCATAAAACTGCATGATGAATTTTACCAACAGAACATAAAAAGAACCATTAACAGCACATCATTTGATGAAAATAAATGAGTAAGGAATGAATCAGATGTGCTTGATCTCACTACTGCGTAGTGGAGACACTGAAAGGCAGATGTGAGCTGCATAAGTGCAGCGGTTGTAGGGAGATGACATCTCCTCTGTGGACGAAGTTTGTGTACACACTCGCTAAATTAAAAACACAACCTTCACAGTTATTGCTGCTCTGTTTCTATAACTTTCAGTGACATTGCTTTTGTACAAATTCATTCACTTATCTAGTTCTTTGGTGAGTTCTCATTTTTAAGCGGTGTGTGGGTTCACATTCATGTTCAGAGGTTTTCATGCTATTCTAGAGGTTACAGTTAACTTTACATTAGCACAATCAGATACATCAGGTTGATTTGAAATTACCTTTCTCTTGTAGCCATTCTTCTACTGGTCTGGCAAATTTAAAAGGAATTTTCTTATTGGCCATCTGATAGCGTTCAATGTCGCTGTTCCCTTTAAAGTTTAAAAACACATGTATTAAACACAGATCGATGACCGGAGTCACATCATGAAGGAAAAATCAATTTCTAGCTACATTTACAAAATAAATCTGAATTTAGCAGAAACATTCATTTTGGTTGAAACAGTTGTTGGTTAGAGGATGCACAGGGCTCATCATCTTTGGCTCTTTGGCTGTTACCAAACATTTTGTTTACAATCCTGACTTTTTTCTTCTTCACATTGTGTAGAGCAGTGTCTCCGACTCCAGTCCTTCAGAACTGCTGTCCTGCAGCTTTTAGATGCATCCTTGTTCCAACACACCTGAATCAAATGACTGGCTTGTTATCAGGCCTTTGCCCAACTTGATGGGATGCTAAAGAGGTCATCTAAATATACCTGTTGAAGCAAAAATGTGTGTGTCTGGTATCCAAAGAACTGTGACTTTAGGACCAGACAGCTAAAATTAATTGACTTTGGCCTCCTGCAAGCTAGGCGCTTAATATCTTTGTATTGGAAGAAAGTGGATGTACCCTCAAGTCATATGTGGGTGAAGGAGATGGCATCATGTATTGTATTGGAACGACTTACTTATATTGTCAGAGGAAAGGGAGTAGATTTTGAAGAAATATGGTTACCTTTAACTGAGTTTCTGAGACATTATGAAGGGAATTAATTTAGAAAGTGATACTTGGTGCTGAGTTTTGGGTTTCTTTGTGTGTGTGGGGTTTTTTGGGTTTTTTGTTGTTTTCTTTGTTATCTGTTTCTTTGTTTTTGTTGTTTTTATTTTTCGTTTGTTTTACCCGTGCTGTGCATCGGTTTTGTTTTATTTTATTATTTATTTATTTTTATTATTATTATTGTTGTTTCTTTTAATTTATATTTGTTTATTTTGGGGACTATGTTCTTTAATATAAATCTCATGTTAACTGTACCGTTATTCTTTGCTTGTTCTGTAATATAAAAGTCAATAAACATAATGATTTTTAAAAAAAAGAAAAAAAAAGAGGTCATCCAACCATTTGATCCAGCTGCGTTGGAGTAGGGATGCATCTAAAAGCTGCAGGACAGTAGCTCTTGAGTTGGAGACTCCTGGTGTAGCGTATGCACTGATGTCACATTTAATGCAAGATTAGTTTTCTTACTATGGAAATCATCACAAACACTTTAAAAACTTGCCTAATCCTATGTGTTCCGAATACCAAGTTATATTCTAATGAAACTGTACAATCCCTCCTACCAGTCAGGTTTGCCTACCTGGTAGGTAATGTCTTAGGGGTAACTTTTTCATGCAATGAAATTCATTCATTATCACTTTTTGTCACTGGATGTATCTTCACATACCTTAAAAAATAAGATCTTTCAAGACTCGCTAGATTTCTTTTAACAGCCTGTGACGTGAAGAACTCAGGTAAAAATTTCCTACAAAGGATGTAATAGTCAAGCTTGCTCCAGAGCAACTTGCCTTACTCCTTTTACACTTACAACATCAACAGTAAGTAACACTACCAAACATTACATTAGAAATTGATAATAATCAATCACTAAAATTCAACAAATGGTCATCTGTAGACATGAAAGACTAAATGGGCAAAAACTGGTTATTTTGCAAGTCTAAATTTTGTTAAGCAAGCAAGTTGAGATGAACCTGATAGCTGTTATGTAATAGCTAGCCATTTAGTTACACAGCATGTACAGTATCTGTTTGCTCTGTTGTCATGACTGATACTCAGATATACAGTAAAGTGGGATTTTATGAAAGTCTCAACACTATTTAGGCCCATGCAAACTCAGGCACATTTAAGATTACAACAAGCTGTGTGGAAATGTGAACAAGACTTAGTGCTGCTGGCCTTTCTCTTCCACTGCTTCTTGCAGGTGACAGCAAGCAGTGTCTCATCTTAAACAATCAAGAGTCAGTGTTCAGAAAGCCTGTGAGCCTGATGGCATACCTGGCAGATTGCTAACAGATTGTGTTTATCTTGACTGACATTTTCAGGCTTTGACTCAGTCAAGTGTACGATCCAAGGTTAAAAAGGCTACATTTATTGAATGACCATAGACGAGTTGGACTGATTTCTGTGCTTTGAAAAACGACGTCACTCAGCAGCCGTGTGTCATCATTGAAAACGAGTTCCCTTAGGTTATGCAGAGCTCATTCAAAGTTCTTAAAATGATCACGCTCTTCTCTGACAATATTAGCTTGCCCCAAATCTTCATTAAATATACAGCACATATGATGTTTACACAGAGAAATCCTCAAACTGCCTTCCCACTTCAGTAGCTGATGTGCATGTTTGTGTTTATTCCAACTTTCTCCACATGTATTTGTTGCTGTGATACCAGAAGACTTTTTAAAATAAAATGTTTCGATCTTTTCATCACTTTCTATACATTTTCACTAGGATTTGTAAACGTTTTCCTCTTGTACAGGTATAAATAGTCCTGTTATCTAAAAGTAACCCAGCACCCAAAGCACAAAAGGGTGCCATATTACAATTGTGAAGTTGGATCTTTCTGAAAAAATAAACTTAACAGACTTTTGGAAATTATCTTTAATAATATTGTTTCTATTTTTTCACCTTCACTGTTCGTCTGTTACAAATCTTCAACATCTCAGTTCGACTTGGCTCAATTTTAACCCCTAAATTGTATGATTCATCAAATGCACACTCTCTGCGGCTAGACCAAGCTTATTTAACTGATATGAACAGTGCTTTCATTCAATCATGCTAAAATTAAATTTTAGTGACAATCAAAATGATTAGATATATCTATAAATATATGTATAAGGTAACATATATTTCTATGCAGCCAATACCAAAGAGGATGAGCCCGAGTAAAATGAAAAATTTTCAAAAGACTTCTGGGCTGTCATTAATGTAAAACAACAAAGTAAAACAGCATAAACCACAAAAAAGGGCCGATCCAAACATAATGTGTAGTTCACTGGGCAGTAGAGGTGCAGCGGGTCACGGTTGAGCCGCAATCCGATCCCACTCCACGGTTCGGTGCGCGCGGTCAGTCTGTCAAGCGATAGTTATGGTCAGCGCTAGCGGTCCAGGCGGAGGAGCGGAAGAGTTTTCGGTATTTAAGCAGCCCTTTGCTGCCCAGTCCGACCGGGCTAAAGCTAAAGCTATTACAGAAGCTACTGGGGTGTTTAGCTGCAGACGTTGTGCAAAACAAGGTGTTTAAACTATGATGAACGTGCTATGATATCCCGTTCGCGTCCACTTCAGTGGCAAGATCGTTCCAAGCATGTATGAGCAGGAAAAGATTTAAGTTATGGCTGAACTGTCCCAGGCATCTTCTGTTGTCCTAACTGCTACAAATGGGCGGAGCTCCAGTCCAGGGCAACGGAAAGCTACGTGACCGTGACCGCTCATTATATCACAGCGGAGTGCGATGTAATGAGCGGTGTGTATTATTGTAGGGCCTACCTTACAATATAAAGCGCCTAAAGGCGACTGTTGTGATTTGGTGCTTTATAAATAAAATTGAATTGAATTGAGTGGTAGATACAAAGATACAAAGACTAATTATATTTTTTTAATAATTGTATGGAATGAGTCTTGAGTTGAATGTTTTTAACAGGCAAAAAAACTTCAATAAGTAAATAAGTAAATGTTACATTTTTTTCTTTTTTCTTTTTTTGCTGATCCGAAAAGTGATCCGATCCGAACCGTGAGATTTTTGATCCGTTGCACCACGACTGGGCAGCATGTGTAATTATGGACATCATATTTTAAAACTACACAGGATTATATAAATGACGGTTTAAAATGAGGACTCTTAACGAGAGATTTGCAGTATGTCAAATCTATCTTGTTCATTTACAAACAAGCTATCATTCTCAAAAGTGAAGGGTGAATTGGCCACTGTGGGGTGGGAATTAGATTCTGGAGGAGGACATCAAATCATGGGTCTTATCCATGATCGGGGGAAGAACAACGTGGATCATGGACAGATGGATGGGTACAGCTTCTGTTAAGCTCTGTGTCTACTTTCACTTATGGCCATGGACTCTGTCTTGAGACTGAAAGAAAGAGAAAGAAGACACAACCAGCAACAATAGATTTACTGGTGAGGATGCCTGGCTTTCCCTTTGACATGCATTATATTGCCAGAAGTATTCACTCGCCCATCTAAATCATTGAATTTAGGTATTACAATCGCTTCTATGGTCACAGGTGTATAAAATCAAGCACTTGCAGACTTCGTCTACAAATATTAGTGAAAAACTTGGTAACTTTTAAGAGCTCAGTGAATTCTAGCATGGTAATGTGATAGGGTAGCACCTTTGCAACAAGGCCAGACGTGAAATATTCTCAGTACTAAATATTCCACAGTGAACTGTTAGTGATATGGCAAAAATGGAAGCAATTGGGAATGATAGCAACTCAGTCACAAAGTGGTAGTTCACGTAAAACTGGAGAGTGGAGACAGCAGATGCTGAGGGGCATAGTGCACAGAGGTCGCAGAGTCAGTCGATACAGACAACCAAACTTCATGTAGCCTCCAGATTAGCTCAAAAACAGTGTAGGGAGAGGTTCATGGAATGGGTTTCCATGGCCAAACAGCTGCGTCCAAGCCATAAATCAGCGGCCCCCAACCTTTTATGCGGCAGGGACCGGTTTATATCTGACAATATTTTTATGGACTGGCCTTTAAGATGTCGCAGATAGATACAACAAAATAAAACCAGTACCGGTACTGAAGAAAAAAAGAAGATTTATTCAACACACACGGGAAAAGACTGTACTGTCAGACACTAGTGCTCAAAGCATAAAGACATGGAAGAGCTGGTGTCTGAAGTCTGATGTGGAAGAATCTGCCTGCACAGAGTCCTGGCATCAACCCAATAGAACACCTTTGTGATAAGAGCATCATCACAAACAGCAGAGACTGCAAAGCAGGCCTTCTCCTCCAACATCAGTATCTGATCCCACAAATGTGTTTCTAGACGAAGGGTGAAGAATTCCCATTAACACACTTCTAAATTTTGCGAAGAGCCTTTCCAGAAGAGCTGAAACTGTTATAGCTTCAAATAGTGGGCCCTATGGATTAAGCATGGAATGTTCCTCAAGTTCATATGTGTGTGAGGACAAATGACCGAATAGGTCTCCTGATAAGCTCAGAGAAACATTGCAGACACTGGTTACACATAGATTACCCTCCAGCAGAGTTTATAGATTATAAGATGTTACCCTTCATATAAACTGTCTTACATAAATCGTATTCTTATATCTAATAGAATAAAAAAATTTAACAGTTTAAAATATTACAATTTGAAGAGATGAGTTTATAGGAACAGGCACAGGTTTACAGGACAAACTGAAGGCCCATCCCTCAGCACTGCACCATTCTTTGAACACCTCACTGCTCCACTACTGCAGCCTTGTGAAAAGACTGTGGAAGGCTTGTGTACATCATGTATCCATCCAGGGCAAGTGCCAGGAAGCGCTGCCAAATAGTTCAGTACTTGAAAGCTTGTCTAACAAAGAGTGCCACACTGAATCACAAAACATTATACTCAAAGACCCTTCCTGGAGGCAGAAATGTTGTTGGCCAGAACAGCAGAACAATTTGTCCGTTACACTTGCCTCAAACACACTGTTACCAAGACTCCAGGGTGCTGGTTACCCATGGGAAACTGAATCAATGATCGAAAGCACTGAAGCAAATGATGGCGCAGGCTAGTAGAGGAGGGTGCCAGAGTGGATTCTATTTGACTTAAGGGATTTTGTCTTGGACATGAACGTGATGGAAATTGTTCTGCAGTCTGCACAAGGCCCTGCAGCCAGACGCTCTCTAGAGTCTGGATTTAATTTGTCTGTAGTTTCTGGGGTAATAGTGACAATTTTGTATGTTAATATAATGTCACACAAAAACAGTCATCATCCAGTGACAACCCCAGCTGACAAACCTAGCCCTATGTGACTTAGACCTCACAGAACAAGGTCCAAACATGGTTACACACAATTAATGGGCATTTCTATAACACGTTTTAAACGTGATGTTCAAAGCTCTACATGAAAGCTCTGTATTATATCTATATCTGTTTCCACCTTACCACCACTTATCACCAGTTAACCCTGTGAAGTCAAAGTCATCGTCAATGATGACCCTAAACATAACTGTATGCTTTTACATGTGTTCATTTAGTTCCCACGTGAAACTGTGCTCCAGGGTTAACCTAACCTTCTGACTATAGGAGCAAACCAGAGCAATGAGCCAGGCACCACTAAGATTCAAACCCAGAACTTTCTGGCTTTTCTAGCCGTGTGCTTTCATTTCGTTTAGGTTAACCCTGTGATGTCTAAGTTCTCATCACTGATAGCCCTAACCTAATCATGTGTGTCAGACAGGCAGATATACCGGACATACAGTGGGGCAAAAAAGTATTTAGTCAGCCACCGATTGTGCAAGTTCCCCCAC